GGCGATCGCACATCGCTATTCTCGACACTCCCGAGACTTATTAACGCGCGGGACTCACTTTCGACGGATAAAAGACGTAAGAAACGCGGAGCGATGTGGATCGATGTGTGCCCATGGCTGTTGCTTGGCGCGAAAAGATCGAGCATTTCGCGCGATTCATTACCAACGCCTAGATTGTATAACCATGATGACAACCTCGTAGTGCGAAACGAACGCGATTGATCTAGAGTGGTTAGTAACTCGAGCAAGTGGTTAAGGCATCTGCCGCGGCGCGCCGTACAGATCGCGTCGTTGTAGACGCGCGACCTCGTTCGCATCACTGGCGCGTTCACATTCATGCACTTTTGGCACTTTCGGCGCGCTAATGAACTTTTGGTGTACGTGATTGACAGCGCGCGCGTCTGCGATCTTTCCATGCCGAGTAATTGCCATGAGCACACAACGCTCCGTATTCAATACGTCTTTCGCTTGTGTCCTGTGAGTCTCCTGCGAAAATAAGTATTAGAGTGTCGAAAACAACGACATGCGATCGTCAGGACATATCGTAAGTACATTATTACGGAGTAATCTCCTCCCTTCTCGACATATGCAGCTAAGGTAACCAGATTTTTCACCCTTTGTCCCGAATTTTTTCGAGTGTTATTCGGGACACCGATTTGTTATCATTTTCAATTATTGTCAAATAATTTTCGGATCTTTTTATCACTCTTCCCCCGCTTTACACATTTATGAAGTGTCCCGAATTCAGGGCTGGGGGAAAAATCTGGTCACCTTAGTTTAAACTCTCAAAAAACTATTTTTATAAATTCAGAATGCATAAATCAGACATGCTAGTAATTTCGAAAAGATCTGAAATTGGAGGTTGAACATTTGTCTTTGTCTTAAAAAGTCGGAAACTTAAAATTCAATTTCATAGAAGTCACTTACAGAAGGATGAAACATACTCTCATAAAATAAAACAAAAGATAAATTATAACTCACACCCAACAAATTTCTGGATAAATTTCTATTAGAGACAGTCTCAGGAAAAACAAAAATTACACAAAAATACCCCTTTCATCCATGTCGCATATATTGCTCTTGGAGGGAGTAATTTCCTCTCGGAAACCTAACGTGGACAATTTTTGCTCACATTCGTATTCAGCACACTTGATTTACTAAAGAATGATCCTTTAGGAAGAAAATGCAAAATTTTTTAACATGATGTTACCAGACGGTAACTATTATCATATCTCATAGTAATTACCAGACATATTGAACTACCAAACGCTCTACCAAATGCGTTTGTTAACTATTACAAAACTTTTTCTCAATGTAGAGCTACAATTGCGATTCAAGAAAAAATGCGGATTAGACTGATCAGTGGTGTCGGGTGATTCCATGGTATTTGTTTAACGTTGTAAAATTTATGCAACATTGGACACGTTGCATTAGTGAACACAACGTTAATGCTCTTGAGATTGTTGTATAAAGGAAGATTCATTTCCCTCAGTTTCAGAATGAATGGGACGACGATCTATAACGCTGCGAGCACCGTGGCTAGTGTCATCAGTCTCGAGTCTACGAATCTCAGTCTGACCAAGACAATCGACGCCATCATTGACGGCGACCTTGATGTTTCGCCGGTGACCTTGTCGTCAGCCTGGTCCAGAGTGGCGCGACTATTGCTGCTGGTCTCCCTCGCTGTCTGCGGGAGCGTGGGTAATGTCTTCATGATATCTGCCGTGGTGGTGGAGGATCAGCTCAACAAACGAGGTATGTCTGCAGTTTTATCTTTACGACTGCGAATAAAAACGACGACGGACGCGGGGCTCGCGCACAGAGGCGGAGAATCGTTCTCGCGCGCAGTAGTCGCTATAAATTTGCGACGGAAAATTAAAATAGTAAAGAGGACGTTAGAAAAGGGATTCGGACGCAGCGCAGCGTTGGACGGAGAGCTGCGCCTGAAAGGGAACGCTCTCTCATCGACAAATGCAACGACAAAAGTTTTTACTGCATAGAGGTATATCCGACTAAAAGCCATCCAGGGGGTCGTACATTTCCGACGTGCCTCGCGACAACGTTCTTTCGTATATACCGTCGCGGTAAGATCTCTTATCTTTTTTTGCTTCTCCACGGACAAAAGCGTCCTCCGTCTGTATCCGGCCGTGGAGGGATATAACAGTGAAGAACGAACGTTGTCGTTGTCGTCGTCGTCGTCGTCGTCGTCGTCGCCGTTGTCGTCGTCGTGTCGGTACAATCTGCGAGGAAGATGGGATCTTCATCGTGCCATTATACCTGCGGCAATAACGAGATCGATTTCTCGTACTATTTGCAAACCGAACATCTCATTCTCGCAGAGATACGCGCCGACGCGATAATAAATAATCCCTGGGCGCTATCGCGCGCGTCGTTGTCTCGTTGGCTCGCGCTGGGACCGATCCGAGATAATTATTATTTGCACGCGAGCACTCCGCATAGAGCGTAATAACAATGACGCTACGGATGGAATGGAATACAAAGCAACGTGGGTGCGAATGTAATTACAGCGTCTGCCTAAGATATCGCTTTTCCTTCTCTCTATCTCTCTTCTTATATAAATTGAAAAGTTTAATCTCTCTCTCTCTCTCTCTCTCTCTCTCTCTCTCTCTCTCTCTCCCTCTCTCTCT